TTTAGGTACTTTAACCATTTAAACAACTGTTTTCGTGTTTGAGTATACATAGATGTAGTATAGAAAGAAATGAAAAGCTTCAAAGGGGCAGCTTGGTCTTCTAGTGCCAGATTTCCCCTGAACAGGGCTGGGCACTGCTGTGTTGGGAGAGCGTGGCAATGAGAACCGATCAAGGAAAGAAACAAGCCCGCACAAGGCACAGGTCTGGGAGGGGACCCAAGCGGGGTCACACAGCCGGGCGGTGGAGGGCTGGGCTCCAGAGGCCGACGTCTGGGTTCACCCCAGTTTCCCTACTTTGTACCTGGACGACCAGGTAAGCTCCTGACTTCTGTGTCTCTGTCTTCTCATCTCAGAATGGAGCAATGTTTACCTTAAGGATTCTGCTTTCAGGATTAAAGGGAATAATGCCCCTAACAGAACTTATTGCAGCACTGGCAGGTGATGGGAGCTGAATTCACAGGGCCCACTACCATTATCAGGGTCACAGGGCTCCTGAGGGGAGCTGGGACAGCATAGGTCCTGCTCTTTTTGTCTCTAGAAATGAGCTGGGAGAGGGAGTGAGCATGAAATTACCAAGTGTGCCCAGAAGGCCGAGGGGTGGTGAGCTGCAGCGATGGGGTCAGCTCCAGGCTGAGAGTCTGTGGCTCTGTGGGCCTGGATGAGCCCCTGCATGGGCAAAGGAAAACTTGCAGATGCCCTGGAAGGTGGCTGGCCTTACCCTTGGCAAGGCAGCACTTGCGAAGCAGGAGCTCTCATGTGCGGTTACATGTATTTTCTGTTGACAGTCAAAAGAAAAAAAAGAATCTTTTCAAGTGGTCCACCTGCAGACAAAAGCTTTCAAGCAATGGGGCAACTTAGGGTGGAATGATGGGATCAGCACTTGATTCACCTGATGTGGCTCTTCTGGTGAATCCTGCTCACATTTCATGAATTTGCATGTGCTAGGATTAAGAGCAGAAACAAATAAACCAAAACCTCAGTACTGAAAGAGTGTGAGTTGAAGGGAGTGGCCCGCCCAGTGCAAAAGGGTGTATTCCTGTTGCTTGACTGAAATACAAAACCAGGTTGTACTGGCTAAGAGAAATAGGAGTTGGGACTAGGAGAGTCCCCCTCTATCCTCCACCCCTAACTCTGAGAACAGCTTTCTTTGTTGAGCGAATACACCTGAGGCGAGCCTTCTTCACCCCTCCTCCCACTCACAGTCAGGTAAGTCCTGCCAGGTGCCCCAGAGGGAATAAAGCGTCCAATGATAACTCACAGACTCCTACATGAAATCAAAGCTTTGCTCACATCCTTTCACTGGAATAAAGAAATGAAATGGGCACTGCCCTCAGAGATGCCAGATCAAGCCCACGTGTTGGGATTTTCTAGACAGAAAATCATTTATTTTTGGTCCATTTCAGTATTTATAGCAGTGCACATGTAAATCATTTCAGCTCCCAATTGTTGGAGCAAATTAATCTTTCACAAGCCACTCAGCAGCGAGGTTAGAAGATAAACAGTAGGTGAAACAGTACACACTCCCCGGTATGTGAACCTTCCTGTTATAATACAATAAATGCCTACATTTGAGCTCACTACATCCAATGAGTGCCACTCTCTCCATTCACGTGGCAGCCCCAGCTGCCCCCTGCTACCTCTGCCCTGCTGAGGGAGTTCTCTGATCAACCACCTGGGTGGGACATGCTGCCATTTTCAGTTTGGAAGGAAAAGCCTGTAAATCTGCTTCCTGGGAAGACAGACATTGCTGAATTGTTATGTGCCTCCAGAATGCAGAAAACATCAATTTCATTGCAGCTCATCAGAGTTGGAAACACCTGCCACTTCCTTTCTCAGTTGCAATTAACATGCTGCATCTCAACATTGATTGTTTCCAAGCAGCCTTACACTGCCAAAGTCAAGGTTTAAATGAAACAGTATAACCTGATATTATTTTTCACGGTTTTAGAAACATGAACACACTTGTGTTTTTATTGCCAAAGAAGCACTACAAATAGTTGGGGGGATAAGTCTTTGTACTTGAGATAAACGTGAGTAGAATAGGTTGATGCTTACAATAAAAATCATTCGTTATTCTTGTATTTATTTGGAGTTGTACTTATTTATCTTTGAGTTTACTTGTGGGTAGAGGAATAATGTTATATCTGTATTTTTCACCTAGCACAGGGCTGCTGAATCCCATGGGTATTTGGAAGATGTTTATTAAACAAATAAATAGATGAATGGTTTGGGAGAGCAAGCTTAATTTAAGAACTGTCCTCTTGGTCCAACTTACATAAAATTCTGAAGTTTTAATCATGAGCCTTTCTTTCAAGTTAAAAGCTGTGTGAGGTTATGGAATATGACCCGAGGCTGGGGCTTTCTGTTTCATCCCAAATGGTTCAGCCTTGATTCCAAGTGTTATTTTATGGAAAAGTGAAGGCTCCGTCTGTTTTCAACATGATCCTACTCATACTGCCTACACAGAAACTTTTCAAATGCTACAACATTTTACCTTTTGAGAGTCTCAGAACATTCTCTGTTGTAATCATTTAACATAGTTCAACAGCCACAATATTTGTGTCCTTTGGAAATGGTCATTAAAATGGTTTTTAAGTACTGGGAAAACTGAAAGCTAGAGTAAGGAGAAGGCTGTTAAATATAAGGTTTATGTTTTAACTTGGCCAGATAAGACTCAGCCTTACACCACAGAATATAATCTTTGGAAGAGAAAATGAGCAAATTTCTTCTCTCATCTATTAACAGAATACTGGGGCCAAGAACCACCTTCTTTTTTGGCCCTCTTGGGAAAATCTTCTTTTAAGACTGAAATAGAACAAGTTAAAATAAGTGGTACTTAATTATTTCACACAAAACCAACCCAGACATGACACATTTGAGCATCATCTGTTAAATATATGCAAGCATCAAATGATGACTAAGCTTGAATATTTCTACCCATTCTGGAAGGAAAACTAAAGTTATGTCTTTCTTAAAATGAATTAACATTCTGGTACATCTGTAGTCTTACCTCTAAATGTCTGATGGCAGAAAGCATTATTTTGACTATCTCCATAAATCTTTAATACTATATAACTTAATGCCCCAAACCTCTGGGTTATTTGTATATTAAATAGCTTATTTACTGATAGCTTAGTGTTAATAGGTCTTCTCCAAATTATAACACAGGAAAACCAGAATTACGAGGAAATCACCTTAACCATTTCCACCAAATATATAAATAAATAAAAATAGAAGTTTTCAGAGAGAGAGGGAGAGAAATAGATGCTTGCATATATTTCCTAATAATAGAATTCAGGCACTAGAAGACCTGATCATGTTAAAAAAGAAAAAGGAAGGAGAGAAGAAAGAAAAAGAACCACAACCTTTAGAACTTGGTATACCATGGAAAGGTTGTGTCTTAATACTGCCCAGAACGGTGGCTGACTCTGGAAACGCAGGCACACTTCTAAGTTCCAGCCTGATCAGCTGACCAGATTGTCGTGTATGGACAGCATCTCAGACAAAAGTGGATTATGGGTCAACTTCTATTGAGGAAAGTTAGCTCTCCAGGCAGTTGCAAAGCACCATTTGTCCAACAATACATACATTTAAACACTCGCTGACATGAGAGAGGCCAAACATACAACAATGACTTCTTCAGTCTCCCACTTGTCAATGATGGACTGACTCCTCAAAGAATCTCACTGAGGGAAAATAATCAAATACTTTAGAACAACAAATCACCATTTAAAATCTTTTCTTTGGTTTCCATATGAACCATCAAAATGTCCCAGGAATCCCATGTCAGTGCACAAACTCCATCTCCCAGCTTTTTTTTTCCCATGGAAAATGCCACCAAAAAAAAAAAAAATCCTTTATCCAATTTGGGATTTGGTGAATGGGGCCCCTGCACCTCACTCCACCTTGAAGGCAGAAGTGGCCTTGTCTTGTCCTGTGGAGTTCCTGGAAGCCCCTGTAGAGAGTGTCAGAGACATTTCTCTGTTTGGACCTAAGGAGACCACCGCTGAAAAGCATCCTTCACCCTTGATCACTAGAATGTTCACTTTCAGTAGCAGCATCAACCTCACTAATATTTTATCAACAAATGAGTTTTCCTTTTTGCCATTACCAGCAGATATAAAAAAGTACTTCAAAATTCTTCTTTTTTTAAAATATTGGCTCTGTCTTTAAAAATTATTCATCTTCTAAAAATGTTTTTCACTATATTCTGGGGAAATAAAGAGAGTGCTCTGAAGAAAAAAAGAAAAAGCTTTTCTAAGCCAACAGCATTCAGTGAAAACTAACAATCCTGCTGGTATGAAGTTGAAGTTTTATTTCCTTTTTTCTTTCTTTTTTTTTTTAATAAAATTAAGGCTCAAATGTTCTATTAAATTCTCATTGCTTACATATATTATATTAAGGCTTATAAATACACCTGGTGAATTAAATTCACCCTGGATTGAATTAACACCTGCTATATGAGTTATTTGCTTTATGTAATCAGTAATCTCAAGGTTTCTTCCCTTTCTCTGGAAGCACAATTTAAATATTAACCTAATCTTTAAACAGTGGCTACTTCTTTCTGACATTTGAAAACCAGTCACCCGTGCAAAGAAAAGGCAAATATGGATATAGTAATGAAAAGGCAGCTTCTTAAAAATCTTAAGATGTGTAACTCAATGAATTGTGAAGAGAAATGATGAAAGGAGCAGGAAAACTGATCTCTGTGTCACTCTTTATAGAAAACAATGCTGATTATCTGCCAAAGTCATCTCCAATCTGAGAGACCAGCTGAAGTTGACTGCCTATTTCAAAAGAGTCTCGATATTTTCTTCATTATAATCTCTGGAAGTATCTTAGGCAGCTGGAGTACATATGAGAGAATCTTAATTATTTCAAAAAATACTGCAGCATGGTATAAGTTACGTTTCAGGTCTAACATCCTTTGAAAGGAGGAACGAGTGAGTGGGGGGTGCTTGGCCTGATCCGGTCGTCGGCTTGCTCCCTGTGGGGCCTGCTCACATCCTGCTCAGCTGACGGCCCCGAGAGAATATAAAGCTTTCAAAGTGATGGTCTTCGGCCTTCTCTCTGATGCGTTGTTCCTCTAAGGAATCCACCAGTTTGTCCCTTTGCTCAATCACTTGCATCATCTCTGTGAGTATTTCTTGCTCTTCATTCAGATCATTCTCATCTTTCTGGCTCTCTGCAAAAAGAAACAAAACAAAACAAAACAAAAACCAATAACAAACAAAAAAGACACATTGGACTTCAGGTAACATTTGACCACAGAGGAGCTATTGGCAGGGGTGTTCTTTATTATTCTGGACTTGTTCTGCTCTTTAATTTCTAAGGAGAAAACAAGGAAATGAACTTAACACCGGGGACCTGCCTTGCAAGACACAGATTAGAAAGGTGGCCGCTTTGTGCTGCTCTCAGCTCAGTTTTCATCTCGAGACTCTATATAAAGCAACAGGGAAAACCCCTTTGTGAGAAAAAGAAGTTCATACCAGCCAAGCCCTGCCAAGCCCTCCCACCTGTCCTCCCCTCCCCAAAAAGAAGCCAGCAAAACAACACAAGGGCGGTTTTCCCTAAACGCATCTGAGCTACAGCAGAGCAATCTGTGAGAGAAGTTTCTAAGTAAACCGTCTGCATCAGTGCATGTTATTTCAATGACAAGAATCCTGTTTTCATTTGCAGTTAATAACACATTGCAGCCCTCTGAATAGAGACCAGGCTGCTGCCAAGTGAGGCTGTGGCTAGCTGCTGGGAGGAAGTTTCCAGACTGTGACTAGGCTTCTCCCTTTTGCCTTCTGAGTGCATGACCTTCTTCCTAATTGGCCCGAGATGTTCAACTGCCTGGGGAAGATACGATTTGTTATAAAAGGAAGGAAAAGAGTAAGAAACTGGTAGTAATGACTTTCTGACACTCAAAATAGGATTCTCAAGGCAGATCTTAAATTTTGTCAGATTATTGCCTTGGGAGGAGACTTTATGTATTATTGCATTAACCCCTCTTGTTTAATGCATGGGGACGAGGCAGTGAGCTGGATCCCAGAGTAGAGATGGTACCACTGTCTCTTGCCTCAGGCTGTGTTCTGAGACTGGCATCAGGAATAAGGGGGACATGACAAAAGGGAAATAAAGAGGCAATATTGCCTTCGCAGCTCATGTTTTATGGGAGGGAGGAGCAAGAGGCAGGAGAAACTGAAGGTGGAGCCCTGGGCTCCAGTCTCTCCACTCTGGGCCTTGGAATCCTCCAAGGGGGCTCCTATCCAATCATTTGATGGGAACACTGGGGGCCAAGGGACCCTTGCGCTGACCCTTGCTCGGAACTCCAGAAAGTTATCAGTTGGAAAGGCACCCTAGGTATAAACATGGGACAGGCAGAACTTCATGGTTGGGCAGAGAAGAGGGGTCTGGGTGGGGCTCCCCAGATCCTGAGTTGCTGTGTGTGGCACACAGAGGCAGTAGCCAGAAGTGTCCACTTGGCCCGGAGGTGCAAAGGTCGCTGGCCACTGGGCCGGCCACGGCGCTCCTTCTGGTGAGGGATGAGGTGGCCCCACAGTGCAGACTGTCTGGTAGACCGTCTGGCCAGGCTGAGTGGAGGATGCACGGAGGCGAGGCTGAGTAAGGCTAGGAGTGAGGCTCCAGGCACGCTGAGAGGATGGCCAGGCTATGGTCATGCCAGCCTGGCTGCAAATGGCAGCAGAGTGCAGCCTAATGACAGGAGACAACTGCATGGGGGTCAGTGGATCGGACCCACCCACACCAACTTCCAGTGCTGCAAAGTCACGCAGACCTGCCTCTCACTAACACCTGGCAGTCACCTTTAAGGATCGAGCAGATGGAAGGGTGGCAATCTGCAAGGCTGAACATTTTCATCCCAAAGAGACTGAGCATTTCCTGGAGGGACTTTTTAAATGTTTGCATCAGACTAAGTTTACCAGAAAAGCATATACTTTTGCTTTATTGACTACACCAAAGCCTTTGATTCTGTGGATCACAACAAACTGTGGAAAATTCTTAGAGAGGTAGGAATACCAGACCATCTGACCTGCCTCCTGACAAATATGTATGCAGGTCAAAAAACAACAGTTAGAACTGGACATGGAAAAACAGACTGGTTTCAAATAGGAAAAGGAGTATGTCAGGGCTGTATATTGTCACCCTGCTTATTTAACTTATATGCAGAATGCATCATGAGAAACGCTGGGCTGGATGAAGCACAAGCTGGAATCAAGACTGCTGGGAGAAATATCAATAACCTCAGATATGCAGATGACACCACCCTTATGGCAGAAAGTGAAGAAGAACTAAAGAGCCTCTTGATGAAAGTGAAAGAGGAGAGTGAAAGAGTTGGCTTAAAAGTCAACATTCAGAAAACTAAGATCATGGCATCTGGTCCCATCACTTCATGCAAATAGATGGGGAAGCAATGGAAACAGAGACTTTTTTTTTTTGGTCTCCAAAGTCACTGCAGTTGGTGACTGCAGCCATGAAATTAAAAGATGCTTGCTCCTTGGAAGAAAAGCTATGACCAACCTAGACAGCATATTAAAAAACAGAGACAATATTCTACCAACAAAGGTCTGTCTAGTCAAAGCTATGGTTTTTCCAGTAATCATGTATGGATGTGAGAGTTGGACTATAAAGAAAGCCGAGAGCCAAAGAACTGATGCTTTTGAACTGTGGTGTTGGAGAAGGCTCTTGAGAGTCCCTTGGACTGCAAGGAGATCCAAGCAGTCACTCCTAAAGGAAATCAGTCCTGAATATTCACTGGAAGGACTGGTACTGAAGTTGAAACTCCAATACTTTGGCCACCTGATGCAAAGAACCAACTCATTGGAAAAGACCCTGGCGCTGGGAAAGATTGAAGGCAGGAGAAGAAGGGGATGACAGAGGATGAGATGGTTGGATGGCATCAGCAGTGGGATGGACATGAATTTGAGTAAGCTCCAGGAGTTGGTGATGGACAGGGAAGCCTGGCATGCTGCAGTCCATGGGGTTGCAAAGAGTCGGACACGACTGAGTGACTGAACTGAACTGACTGAAGTTTACCAGAGAGGGAGTTCCCTTTCCTTTCCTCCTTCCTTCTTCTTTTTCTTCTTGCTAACTAGTGGGATGAAGCTTTTGTGCAAGATGACAAGGCAAAATGAAGAAACTACATTTTTTGGTACACCTTGGAAGAGTGAGAAAATGTATAACCATCACTTTTCAGTAAGAATTTTTTAAAAAAAGATTCAAAAGTGGCTTATGAGTCTTTGGTGATATGTATTTTACCACCCTGAGCCAGAGTAAATTAAAAATTTTTTGAGATGTATAAATCAGATCTTAGTTGCCTACTATGATTTGTTAATTTAGGTATACTTCAGTATTCCTGCCCCTTATTTCATTATCAACACAGACAAATTCAAAATTTCAACCTCAAGTTTGGTTTGTCATTGGTGGAAACATCTGAGCCCCTTCTGACAATTAAAAGATGATGTATACTACTTTTATCAGTTCTATACAGAGCAATTGTATAAGGATTTTGATAAATAATCTGCCTGCAGTGTAGCAAACTCAGGTTTGATCCCTGAATTGGGAAGATCCCCTGAAGAAGGGAATGGCTACCCCCTCCATTATTCTTGCCTGGAGAATTCCATGGACAGAGGAGCCTGGCAGGCTATAGTCCATGGGGTCATAAGGAGTCGGACATGACTAAGTGACTAACACTTTGGCTTTATATTACCACTTTTATCTGTTCCGTACAGAGCAGTTCTATAAGGATTTTGTTAAAAAATAGTTTTCTATTGCTGTAAAGAGACAATCTACAAACACTATTATGTGAGACAGAATAGGAGATCCTGAGTCTGTAATCTGTTCCCAAGTCATAGCCCCATCATTTACCTTGAGCATGCTTTTTAAGTTCTCAGAGACTCAGTTTTCCAATCTGTAAAGTGGAGTAACATATCTGAGAATGATCATGATAACATCTCATATTTACTATTGTTCTGTACCAGGTAACCCCATAGGTAGGTGCAATATATGGTCCATGATGTATACAGAAAAGATGTAATTTTCTCTTTTAGACTTTGGTCTCAATGTAGGAAAGCCATGCATGGATCTGGCCCCCACAAACACACAGGCACAAAACAGTGAATATGCCTCATGGGTTGGAACCAATAAGTCAGTATATGGTATTAGTTTATTCCAACTCTCCCTCCATCTTGGTGGAAATAATTTTCTCACATGTGAGGCCCTGGCCCAGTTGTGGTAGGAAGGATGTGTCCTTTCCCATCTTCAGTGCCTGGTAGAACCATACCAGCCTTCCTCTCACTGTGGAAACACGAACATCATGGCCCTCATCTCACTGTGTTATAATTACCGGTCTGAGTGCCAGTCTCCCCAGGGAGGCCACAGGACAGGGCTTCTCTTCTCCATCTGCCAGGCTCACTCTAAATTCTCAACAAACGTTTGTTAAATGAATGGATGGATGAGTGAATGAAGCTGTGAATGAATGACTTCACTCCTGTTAGCACATGGGTTGGGATGGAGCAAAATGCTGCTCTCCCAGCCCTAGTGAGCAAAGCAAGGAGGGACTTGCTGGGCTCTAGTGGGGGCAGAAGCAGCTGGCTCTGTGCCCCCTCTGGCTCCCAGGCTGGTGGCACCAGACAGGAAGAGTACTCTGCTCTACAAAGTGTAGCATGTTCTGGTCAAGTGTCTGCATAGGAAAAACATCTTTAACAAAGGTCTGAAACACATCACTGTACTCACCTTCCTGGAGCATTTTCTCTCTTAATTTCTGCTCTAGTCTGCTTTGATGATCTTCCAGTTCTAGTTCGTGGGCCCTGGGAATGAGAAAACGTTCAGACTTTGTAAATACTGAAGACCTGTGTAGAGATATTGATTAATAAACCCATTGACCATAGCAACTGCTTTCCTTTTTCCTTATTAAGACTGGGGTCTTGGAATGCCTCTAAACCAGAAGTTTTGCTACTACTGCTGCTGATACCTTGAACTCAGTAGATACTGAAGAGCAGCTGAAGTTTGTCATGTGATCCCAGTGAACTTCTGGAAGGCCACACTGGAATGGATCATAAAGAAATGACTAGAATGGTAGAAACAATGACAATCTAAAACTCCTCTCTTTTAGGGGCAATGTGACTTCAAGCATCACCTCTAACAACTCCCAAATCTTGGACTGTGGTAAGCAAGAAAACAAGGAGGAAACAGGAGTAAGGCATTTTGTCAGTGGAGGCAATAGTACTCAGACAACCACCCATCTGGTTGTAGGCGATGGTGAAAGAAGAACAGTGATGCTTTAGAGGAGTCAAGCTAGAGTGCTGACTACTCAATGTGCCCACCAGCAAAGTCAAGAAGTCAGCTTTCAATAAAAGTCAGATGGAACTTCATGACCTTTCAGTGCCTGATGATATGCCATGTATATTACAGAACTTGTGTCAGCTCCCCACATGTTGGGCCATGTGGTAATGTGGAGGTTCCTCCAACCTCTGGGAATGCAGCCCTGGAGTTCTCAGGAGAGATGAGGACCACAAACAAATGCGGCAGGGGTCAGAGGTGAAAGGTGAAGTCACATGAGCCCTAAAAGGGAGACAATAGAGGAAAAAATAGTTCGAAGACAGGAGCATGGGACTGCCTACATTTAGAAGCTAATCAAAAGAGATAGAAGTAGGGAAGAAGCAAGCAAAAGGTAGGAAGGATATACAGCATCACAGAAACCAAGAGAGGCAAGTTTTAGGAAAGAGAGGGGTCAAGGCTGTCCATTGCTACAGAGACACTGAAAAGGGTGAGGACTGACACTCGGGCCCTGGGGCTTCCCTTCCAGCTCCAGCTGCAGGCTGTGTGCATATCTGCTACAGCACTGGGTCACTTTACTACACCCTGTTGTTGCTGTTTTTTTGTTGTTGTTGTTATTACTTGGGCCAAGGTCCATACTTTGTTCAATATTCTGCCTTTTGTTACTGACACTGAACTTCCCTTGATCCACTCTAGCTCCCAATAGAAATGTACCACTCAGATTTTCCTTTAAGAAAGGACTTTGTGGAAGGAGTGTACTGTGTAGTAAGCTGACAGCTGCAGCAAAATCCACTTCAATGTGCTGAAGCCACACTGTCCCCCAGCACAGCGGTGGTGCTGGAGCTTGGCCATTTCTGCCCCACTTTGGACACCTCGGATGGGCAGCCTTGGCTGGTGCTCCCTTTGGCCTGGCTCAGATTTTTCTCAGGGCTGCTCTGCAGTCTGAAGCTCCTCCTGCTAGTCCTCCTCCCCTCCCCTCTCCTTTCACAGGTGTCAGGACTGCAGGGAGGTCTGAAGATTTCACTTTCATTCCCGCTCCCTTTTTCCTTCCTTCTGTTATATCTCTTGTGCTTCTAATTCTGTCCCGGTACCTGCTTTCCCAAGGGACTCAAAATCACACACCAGTCTAAGACATTTCTCCTTGTTCACCCAGGCCTTTCTCCAAACTAGAAGCTGTCCTCTACCAGAGCTCTTGTCTGGCTCACACTCCAAGTTCTCCTCCTTGGCCTCTTTTGGAGGAGAACGTTCCCTCTGACAGCGTACCAGTAAGGGAAGCCCCAGTCACCGAGCAGTCACCATCCCCCTGACCTTCGCAGGTAGGGCCTGTGAACCGAACACTCCTGCTACAAGTCTTCACAGAGCAACTGCTATGTTTTCTTATTTTTCTCATGCTGTGTGCTTGCATGTCCATCTCCGAAAACCATGAGATCCTTGAAGGCAGGGACTGGGGCCTGGTTCATCTTTACTTCCACAGTACCCAGCACAGTTCCTGGCACAGAGAATATGCTTGATAGATGTTTGTTGAATGAATTTTATAATTTAAATCTAGCCCAAAGGCAGATGGTATGGTTGTGTAAAAAGGGCTTTGTGGTCAGGTGGATGTGGACAAATTACTTTGCTGAATCTCAGCATGCGCATCAATATAAAAAATAGTAATAGAAAAAATAATTACAGATGAGCCCTGCCTCCCCACGCCTGGCATTTCCTTCCATGTCAGTGGACCTTGATGAGTATAAGTCCTGGCTGCTTCTTTCCACTTTCACTCTTAGATTCACTCTCACCCCAGGAGTGGTAAATTTGGGAAGAACAGGGAAACTTAGCTGACTCCTCACCTGGGGTCAGCCTGCCTGCAGCAAACATGTGTTCCCTGGGTACACATGGTGTATAAATACACATATTTATACACACATATGTAATGAGCCAAAGTAAAATATACTCTGGGTCACTGCCAACAATGTTTAAAATCAACTGCTCTGGGGAATTCTCTCTACTCTGACAGCTACTGATTAAAAGTTCTTTTGATAAGGAATAGATTATAGAAATTGTACCTCCCCATCCGTGTCTCAGCCTGTATACCTACCTGCCTACTGAATATCCCATTCACTACTAAATTCAAGTTGCTCAAAACAACTAGCTGTATGTTAAATATGAAAATTGTTAAGAGAGTAAATTCTAAGAGTTCTATCAGAAAAAAATGTTTCTATTTCTTTCATTTTGTATCAATATTTTTGCATGAGGTGCTGGATGTTCTCTAAACTTCCTGTGATAATCATTTCATGCTATATGTCAATCAAATCATTGCACTATATACTTTAAACTTACACAGTATTGTATGTCAATCACATCTCAATAAAACTGGAAGAAAAAAAACCAACTATAATCTTAAAAAAAAAAGTGTTCTCTTACTCTGAGCCTTGCTAGTGGTCTAGGGCAAGATTTCCCACCTTGACACTACTGAGATTTGGGGCTGGATAATCCTGTGATGGTGAAGGAAGTTGGGATTCCTGTGGAATGTTCGGTAGCACCCTTGACCTCTCCTCTCTAGATATCAGTAGCACCTCCCAGTTGTCTTAGACAAAAATGTCTTCAGATATTGCCAAATATCCCTGGAAGGAGGAAGCAGAGATGGAAATTGCCCCCAGGTGAGACCCACTGGTCTTAGGTAAAAGCCTTACCCCTAAGAAGCAAGTGATTCACTATGCTCTGTGACTAGGTCGGTAAGTATGTCTAATTCTGAAGTTTGGTTCCATGGTGAATCCCCAAGTGATCCTAACCCCTAGTATCTTTGAATGTGACCTTATTTGGAAAAGAGTCTTTGAGGATGGGAAGTTAAGAACCTTGAGATGAAAATATTCTGGATTATCCTGGTGGGCTCTAAACTGAGTGGCAAGTATTCCTACAAGAGACAAAAGAGCAGACACAGACACAGAGAAAAGGCTGCATGAAGATAGAGGCAGAGTCTGGAGAGATGCAGCCGCAAGCCAAGGGATGCCTGGAGCCTGCTGAGCCAAAGAGGGAAGGAAAGATTCTTCCCCAGAGCCTGGCCCCACTAACACCTCAATTTCAGTCTTCCAGAACTGTGAGAGAATACCTCTCTGTTATTATAAGCCACCCTGTTTGTGGTAACATGTTAGTCCAGCCCTAGGAAATGGATCTAGTTAGCAAGCTTTCTTGGACTCTCATATTTAGCCAAACTAGCCATGATCAGTAATAAATGGTTTAGTTTAACATTCCATCTGTTGACCCAGTAGTCTTATTTCTTGCCCAATTCAGAATCCAGGCAGAGAAAAGGAATAGAATTTATTAGACCCCTTTAAGACTCCCAAAATTATTTCTAAGGGTTGGATGAAAATGAAATGAGTCAGCATAAGTGAAAGCACCCAGTACAACCTGTGGTGCTTAGCCAGTTTATATTAAATGTTACTTTCTTTCCCTCCAGGATGATGACAAGTAAAGTGACTTTCAACTTTCTCAGAGTGCAGTGAGATACATCTCTACTTTCTGATCTCCCAGCCAGACTGCAGCCTCTTATCCAGAGGACAGCCAGACAGATCTCCACCTTCAATACATTAAAGCCACAAAGAATGGTCAGGCAGATCTCAGCAAGCCCTTTCCGTCGTTCACACTCAGAGGCAAGGCATATGCTTCCCCATTGAGGATGTGTGACTGCAGGTGGGTCCCCCCTGCCCTGGGGGGCAGAAATGGACTGCAAGTACCTTATCAACATGCCCTCCAGCTCCAGACCTATTACCTGAAATCATTTTAGCCATAGGAGTCCACAGCAGAGAACAGAAAACTGAAGACTCTCTGTACTAATGCCAGCATGATATGCAAGACCTCAAATACCAATTTGTCTCAATCACAATTCTGTATGCACAAGGAGAAAAATCTTGGGACTTCAACTGAGGAGGGTGGGCCACCCCACTGCCACCCCCCCCTCCCCCGCTTGCTTTTAGGCCTCACTGTTATCTGTGTTGCCTTACTTACATGATCAGGAGCTCTGACTCATATCGCATTAATTTATTCTTCTCCAGAACCAGCTTAAGCCATTCCTGCAAAAGCTGTGCTTCATCCTGTGTGCCTGAATCTGCTTAAGAAATCAATGGCAAATGGGTTAGATTGGCATTTCTCTTCCCATGATCGAACTGCTTTGAAGCTACTTTAGGGGGCCATGTTTGTAGCAAAAAGGGCTCTGCAGGTGGCAGCCCCCTGATGGCCTGTTGAAGTCTCAAGGTCATGGGCATAACAAATAAAACACACCTGTGCATGCTCTGGGGCAGTCCTCTTGGACATTTAGAACATGAATACTTCCAGTTCGAAGGGTCATATACCCTTGACAATGGCCTGCCACACTAATGACCCTCCTCTGAATATTTGAGTATCTTCCATAAAATTTCTATATATTTGTATATCATATCCACCACCAAAGAAAGCCCTAATAACCCTGCTGGTTACTCTCTCCTCCTCTTCTGAATCGAATGCCTACTGAGTGCCCAGGTGGTGCTCCCTTCATGGGGCAGGAAGGTTCACATACCATTTGGTTACAGAAGAATGGTAATTGGCATTTTGGTTTTTTTGCACAAAGAAAAGCCAAATGATTAGAGGGGGAAAGTTATTAGCTTTGAGTCTCATAGGGAAAAAGTTTTATCCATACATGCTTATAACTTAGATTATGACCTTTATTCCTTTATTAAGCAGAAGAATTACAATGATAAAATTCACATTGCTTTTAGATATTCAGTGTTAGATGCTAAATGTTTAGATAATAAAATGTTAAAATTTGGGAATGTTTGAGAAGTAGTAACATCAGTGGCTTTCCAGTATTTCACCCTGAAATGGGAATACAAGCTGTGTTGCAAAGCTCATGGCCATCCTCCAAGGATTTAACTTGTTAGGTCCCATTGTTGTTGTTTGTTATTCAGTTGCTAAGTCGTGTCTGACTCTTTGCAACCCTATGAGAACTGCAGCAGGCCAGGCTTCCCTGTCCTTCACTGTCTCCTGGAGTTTGATCAAACTCATCCATTGAGTCAGTGATGCCATCCAACCATCTCATCCTCTGTCCCAAAGGCAGGGAGGAAAACAGGGCAGTCAGAAGATGTGTGTGACCTTGGGAGAGTTGTTTAACCTCTCAGAACCTCTGCTGCTTCACGGGATAAACCAAACAAGAAGGCGCACAGGTAATAGAATAATAATAAAGAGCTGCTGTTTATAATGCAGGGTTACCTGCCAACCAATGGGCTAAGTACCTTACATGCAATACCTCATTGAATCCTCACAACAAACTCACCAGTAGGTTTCCTTATTATCACCACTTGATGGCTGAAGAAACAGAAGTTTGAAAGATTAGAATAACTTGCTCCAGCTCACAGTTAGTAAGTGGCAGAGCCAGGGCTTGAGTTCAGGAGAGCCTTATCCTAAGCTCATACTCTTCCCTGCCTGTATACTCCTCTCCCCTCTTCATTACTCCCTCCCTTCCTCTCACAGCCCTGTAAAGTAAATAAAGCCCCTAGCACATTGCCTTGCACATTGCAAAGTCATCCATAAAAATGACTTCTCTTTCTCCCTGGATCCTTGATCATTCTTTTATTGATATGGAAACTGGGGTCCAGAGTGATTGATGTGAAATGTCCCAAATTTTATATTTAGTTAATGTACAAACTGGTGTTACAATGCAGAACTTGATTCTGATGAATTCATTCATTCATTCATTCATTCAATAACACCTGTTTACAGAATAGGAGTCGGGTATTGCCTTAGGTACTGGGGATACAGTGCTAGATAATGCTACTTATCACCAGAATTTTGGAGATAGTAAGGCATGGTTCCTGCTGAAAAGGATATTGTTAGATAATCTTTTGGATCAGATAGACCAAAAAGCTAGAATAAAATAGAATATCAGAAAACTGTTGCCACAACAAAAAAAGGACTCAGAATACATAGAAGGGAGGGTTTTCCTGATCAAGATATGAGGCTAGGCTTCCCAGGGGAGGTGATGTTTGAACTGGGGTATTGAAAAAAGGATAACACTTTGAAAGGAAACACTGAGGGTGGGAGAGAACATTTCAGTAAGAAGGAACAATCTGAGTAAACACAAGAGGATAGAAGATGGTGGAGACAGAGGTCAGGGAGGGCTAAGGGGACATAGAGGGTAGACAATGAGACCTCAAAGTGTATGACCATCTCATCACAGAGGCCCCTGAATGCCTTGCTAAGGCTTTTGCACTTTATGCTGTAAATACAAAGGGACACTAAAGGTCGCTGAGCGGGAGAATGATACCTGGAGCAGGAAGGATTAAAAGGGAAAGAGAAATAAGTTATTCTTTCTTAGGTTTCTTGAATAAATGGATGGATGAATGAATAAAAGAACTTATAAACCCGTTGAATACCAACATCTTCTGAGCATTGTTGGTGGTGCTGAGGGATAGGGATGTCCTGGCTGGCTATCTGGCCAGCTCCAGCTATCCAGGAAACTGGGACCTTCAATCCAGTGGGGAAACCAACACCACACAGCCAAACAGGGTACAATGTGCCCCCTGCCATGCAACACAGGAGGGAAGTGATTCATCATGTGTGGAGGAAGTGGGGGAAACCTCAGAGAGGAGACAGCAGGTGAGCTCAGTCTAAGTGGATGGGTGGGAGCTTTCCAGGGGCAGGAGGAGGTGAAGAACAAGGCATTCCAGGGCATTGGTTGCTGAATGGAAGAATGAAATTTATAGACTGCAGATCATATATATGACATAGATGTTAAAAGCATATACTTTAAACTCAGACTTAGGATCAAACTTCCATTCTTTGACCTGTCACTGTGGGGGCTTGAGCTCTTAACAGCCTCCCTGAGCCTCAGTCTCCTCACCTGTTTAAAGATACAATGGGATTGTGCATACAGAGACCTTAACCCAGCCCTGGCACTGAGTATAAACTCAGTAATGGTCATTATTCAAATGATGTAATGCACATGATGGAAGATCACTTAGGAGTCATCTCTCCCAGCCATGGAGGGCACAAAGGAATTTCCTCTCCCACCCTCCGCTCCAGTCTCTACAGTAATTCTCCATGAATGGTGGAATGCCCTGCTGTCCAAGAAGCCCACTGCAGAGCTGTGTACTCTCAAGTACTGGAAACTTCTATTGCTCGTCAATGGGTTGGCTATTCGCCACTGAGTCCAGTTTTGCTCTCTGGAGGCAAATAGAGAACATATAACTGTATTTTACACGAAAGACATTCAGATATTTGAAGACTGGTCTCATGATCCACTGTAGTTTTCTTATTTCAGAGTCAGTACCTCTAGGTCATTTATCATTTTATCATAAAAGAGTTGTCCACCTCTATTTGCCTTCTAATTTCCCAGAACACACCTTAAGGAGAGTCCAGAATCAAACAAAATATCAACAGCCCAGAATGGAGAGACACGCTTACATCTTCACCTTGTGCCCTGGAATTGAGGTATTCTTTCAGAAGCAGTGTCTTCACCTGGCTCTTCCTAACTTGCAGTTGAATCTTGTCTTTCCACACCAGGAGTGGTGAAGTCTGAGGACTTCATGTTCAATTTGTGCAACTGATCTTCATCTTATTTTGTTCCATTAAGGGGAAATCTTTGGGATATTTTATTCACCTGGTACATTTCTCCTAGTTTGGGATTTCTGTGAATTGGTAAATAGGGCATCTTCCACCTTCATGTGACATTGAAAAATGAAACATCAGGTGGAACTAGACCAAAAACAGAGCCATCTATCCCCTCAGGGACCTTTCTTACCCTTTGGGCAAGACTGTTCTACAAATTTTAAATGCATGGCACCCAACTAGTATCATCCAGCTCCCATTTCTATAACTTGTCCACTAGGATCTTATAAAAAACCTTAATAACAAAACAATTTTCCAAAATCAAGCTTCACAAAGCCTGCTGTGTCCATTGGCATGACAAATCTCAAAATACCACCCAGAAGAGGAAATGACATTTGTTTTCCACAGCATGTAAGTAAATGGCAGTGGTTCCTAAATTTCTATTATTATTTCTGTCTAAATACCCACAGTTTCTTAAATAATTCTTTCTAGAATTTTGACAAAGATCAGAACTCATGTTTCTTTTTCATATAAAACTAGAAAATAGACCCATTTCTAGTTTTTCGGTTCTGGAATTTTTCCTGAGTTTTCAAAGACTGGGGTCATTTCTGCAAGTTATTTCAACACCGGGGGGGTTAACTCGGTCAATAAGCAAATTCTGATTGAGTAAGGTCATATCGAAGACATACTCTATTGTGAACGTATCATCTTTCACCACGGCTGAGAAACCTGAATTCCTCGCTCTCCCATTTCTCTCACCTATCCAGGTTTAATTTCCTCATCTAGATATTTGTTTAACATTTCTAGATTGAGGGCCATTTTCCTTGATTAAGAAAACAGAAAAGCTGAGAGTAGAAAACCTTGCCTCTCCCCAGTCATGTAACATTAAACCATCTGTCTCAGCTCTGGGGCTATCCTTGCCTTGTTCTCAATCCAAAAGAAACAGCACTGTTCTGCTGTCTTGAGAGTATTTTGTTGTTGATTTTCAGGTTCAGCCTCTTTGCTACACTCTACCTACAGGTTCAATCCAGACTATTATACTGCATTCCATTTCCCTTCTTCAGTCTTTCTTGTGTGTCTTTCTAAAATGTGAGAGTTGTGCAGCCTCATTGATTTCTACTGATGCTGTATTCAAAAAACACAGATTGAACTGAATCAATCAATTTAATTTACTTTCTTGAGTGGAATAATTTGCAATTTTATAGCCTACAGTTTATTTTTAGACTCTTCCTTTCCTCAGTAGTCAAAATTACTTTCGGGGATCTTTGAACATAGGATCAAGTGCAGATTTCTAGGGAATCTGCTTTCCCAAAGCACTGGGTGCAGGCAGATGGTGCCTGGCCCAGGCTTGCCTTGCTCTCAACACAAACAGTGCACTGAGATTTCCATCACCTCACTACCACCCATCAGAGAACCTCCCTGTAGGTCCTAATGAAATCTCGAGGAGCATTGCTCCTCACTGCAGATGCGGTAGAGTGAAGAGGCAGAGGGAGTGGGCTTTGAGATTGATCAGCCTGTCTGTCCCAC